CCAGAATACGAGCAAAATTAGAACACAGCATAAGTAAAACACAGTTCGGTTTTAGATGCGGTTTTGGAACTCGAGAACCCCTCTTTGCAATACAAGTTTTGATTCAAAAATGCCTGGATCAACAGAAAGATGTTTACGTCTGTTTTATCGACTATGAGAAAGCATTCGATACTATCAAACATGACAAACTCATAGAACTATTACGTCTTTCAGGACTTGACACTAAGGACATCCAGATTATAAAAAATCTATATTGGAATGATGATACTATTATACTGGCCGATAACATCGAAGATTTACAGATGATGCTACATAGAGTTAATACAACTGGCAGCCGATTTGGACTGAAGATCAATAGAAAGAAAACTAAATTTATGGTGATCAGTAAAAAAAAAATTCAACATATCGACCTGCATATTGAAGACGAACGTATTGAAAGAGTACACCGATTTAAATATCTGGGATATACAGTAAATGACAAGTGGGACCCAGAAGTAGAGAGTAAGATCCGAATTGAAATAGCAAGGTCCAAACTCATCAAAATGAGAAAGCTTTTAAGCAACCGCAACCTAAGCATTAACCTCCGATGGCGCGCCACGAAATGCTACGTACTCTCTACGCTACTTTACGGCGTAGAAGGGTGGACGTTAACAGCAGCAACTATAAAAAAGTTAGCGGCTCTAGAAATGTGGCTGTATCGACGCATACTGAGAATATCTTGGACAGACAGAGTGACCAACACAGAGGTATTAAGACGAATGGGTAAAGAGGTGGAATTGTTAACAACTGTTAAAAGGAGGAAAGCGTCATACCTGGGCCATGTGTTCCGTAATGATAAGTACAGTCTGCTACAGCTTATTGTGGAAGGCAAGATTGAAGGTAGAAGAGGTTTGGGCAGAAAGAAGAAATCCTGGCTGAGAAACTTGAGAGAATGGTTTCGAATACCAGAAGCTGCGAACATAATTCATGCGGCACAAAACAGGGAAACCTATCGTATGATGGTCGCCAACCTTCGGTAGAAGACGGCACATAAAGAAGAAGACATGGTTTCGGCTTAGAGGCATGGTTTTTTGCAAATAGTTTATGGTTCGAGTTGAGAAGAGAGCAACAGGAGGATTTCTCATAGAGTTAAGCTAAGTTCTTTCTTTCTTTGAATTTTGTATATAGATGCTTAATTCCGTGTTGCTAGCACCTCAATTTTTAATTGTTGTTATATTTTGATTTATTATTTGATTAACTTATAAAATTAATAAAGATATGTGTTGAGAAACTATTTTATTAATAATTCCCGATTTCTCAAATTAAATTAGTTTATGCCGAACAACACCCCTGAGGGGTTTCAAGGTGCAATGGATGAGCTAGCCGTTACAATCTACCCAACGACTTGGAGATCTTCCCCTAGGTCCTTTTCCTTCAACTCTACCCTCGACTATCAGTTTTTCCATCGTGCCTGTTCTTCTAGCAATGTGTCCAAAATACTACAAATATCTCTGGTGTATTTGTTTAAGCAATCTATCTTTTACTTAAGTTGTTGATGATGATGATGAAGATGCATCCCTGCCTGACACCTGCCTCTGTTCTGAAATGATCAGAATATGTATTGTTTATTTTTACTGAGCCCTTATTATTTTCATATAGACTTCCAATTAGTAGTGGGGTGTTCCCATTTCTGCTAGTATGAACCATAGCTGCTGCCATTTGACTTTATCAAAGGCCTTCGTGTAATCCACAAAGAACATAAGCATAGGAGTATTGAATTCACGAGTTTTTTTTTGATTAGCTGTCTGACATTAAGGATGTGTTCTCTTGTGCCTTTTCGTAGGACAAATCCCGGATGTTCTTCTGATATCTGAGACAATAGAAAAGCTTGTAGTCTTTCATGTATTACATGCTTGCTTGCATGAGATATTAGGGTTACCGTTCTGTAATTGCTGCAATCTAGTGGAGTTCCTTTCTTGGATATAGGAATGAAAGTGAATATTGTCCAGTTGTTGGACCACTCTCCGGTTTCCCAAATCTTTTTGCAGACTATATGTATAAAAGTTACTCCAACATGTTCAGTCTCTGAACATGTTTTCCAAAACTCCAACATTTTTTAACTGTTTGAATGCTTTTTCTACCTAATGTTTGGTTTTTTCTCTGCAGAGAACTCGTCGTGATTTACATTCTGGGGATCATCTGCATATAGACTTTGACAATATTTTCTCCATACCTCCGCAATCCCTTTCTCGTCATTTATAATATGTTGGTTTTGATCCATTATTGTTTGTGTGATTGGTTTAAATTCCCTGGATAGATATTGGACTTCGTTATATAGCTCATGGCATTCATACCGGTTTGCATGTCTCTCTAGTTCTTCGCATTCTTCATTTATATGTTTATTTTTATCATCCCTACATGCTCTTTTTATTTCTTTTATCTTTCTCTAAACTTTCTAATAGTCAAACTTTTAAATTATGTAATGAAAAGTCATATCTCTAATACTCAATATCTGAGAAAGCTATTTCTTTGTCCAGTCATGGTCGTTTGGATTGTAGTATTTGTATAATTCTCTTGTATAGATAATTTAAAAGTCCTATTTAGTTGACTTTTAGATGACGAATGCGGAACGCGGACCGCCAGTTGGACAACCCTGTTCTAGATTATAATCATTCTTTTAATGACGAATTTAAAATTCTTCACATTCAAAATAAAGGCCTTAAGATATCTTTATTAGAATCTATGGAAATCAACAAATTGAAAAACACAGATATAATTCTGAATGACCAACTTGAGACAAATAGTTCTTCTCCCCTCAACCCAGGGCCGTTCCTGGCGGGTATGCAATGAATGTCCCGCACGCAGGCGCTAAATTTTAGGGCCGCCAAATATTTGGTTACCGTTAAAAAAATATTCTTACTTCTAAAACAAAAAAAAGTCAGTGTTCAGTATTTCCCCGGTAAGCGCTAAAGCAATCACTTCATCCGTTTGCTATTCACTATTATAATACCAAAATTACTAATTAAATTACCAACCTACAATTTTATTAGTGTCAGCATACGACGCGCCATCTAATGCCGCACGCCACTCACTTTTAATGTTTTGTGTTGCCGGCATGCCGCCCGCGTGGTTGTCTTAAGAAAAGTTGCGCGATGCGCCCGCCTCTGACGAAATTGTCGTTTGCGCAGCAAACTATAACGTTTTAATTCAGTCGTTAGATTTTGTCTTATGGGTTAGGATGTTCTGTTCGCAATATCATTGTCATTAAAGTTTATTGTAAATACATCAAGTTTATTGTAAATTGTAAGTTTAAGGCGGCAAATAAACTGTTTAAGTAAGTAAAATAAGTTAACTTATTTATTTAAATAAAATTAAAAGTAAAGTAAAGTAGTAAAATTTAACAGTTTAAGAACCTTAAAATTATTCTTCGGGTCAGTTAAGTATCAATGTTTATTTACAACCATGTATGTTATGTTGACATTGAAGACCTTTTATAAAAGTTTGAAAAACCAAATTTCTAGTTTTAAAATCTATCCAGGAGGAAAGTGACATTTACCCGGATGAAAAGTGTATGACATTAATTTTCCACCCAGGTAAATTTTAACATCCTACGAATAACCAAAATGTTTGTTTAAATTTTATTAGATTTTTTTTAATTTGCATTTAAAAGATAGTAGTAACAGTACCTATACAAACCTCGGTGAAAAAATTTCATTCCTGTCTCGACGCTATACGCCTCGGTAAACCATGTTTTTCTCTTGTTAAGAATTAAACACTTCAACTCAGTGTATAATATTATATATTGTGAATGTATATAATATACTAATATTTACAACCATATACGTAAAACATCACTTATGACATTTTTGAGAGTTGGAAAGTTCACCTTTTGTGACTGTTCTGATTTTCAGATAAAAATTGATTACCTGTTTAATTTCTGCCCAGAACAGCAAAATATTACTCAATTATTTTGGGTGAATCTCCAGTTGTAGCGATGTTGAGTAGCTGACGGTCATAATTCGCTTCGTTTATTGTTCTCCATATGAAGTCGAAATTAGAGAACACTTTCTGGGTTTTTTCAAAGTTTTAAATACTACAGGAGAAGGGCTTTTCAATTTGTTAAAAGAAGAAATATTATCAAAATTTGAAATAAACCTTGATAACATGAGAGGTCAGGGTTACGACAATGGGGCAAATATGTCTGGTAAGCATGTGGGCCTTCAAGCTCAGATTCTAAAAATTAATCCCAGAGCAATGTTTTTGCCTTGTTCAGCTCACACTTTCAATTTAAGTGTCAATGATGCAGCTAAAATTTCATGTGAAACTGCAGGTTTTTTTCAATTATTCAGGAGTTGTTCAATTTTTTTTCTTTTTTTCAATTATTCACCCTACAGATGGGACATTTTAAAAAGGAATGTACCAAACTTAACTTTAAAATCAGTAAGTCAAACACGATGAGAAAGCAGAGTCAAAGCCATTCGCCCTCTTAGGTTGCAATTCCTCGAAATGTGGAAAAATTTACATGATTTGGTAGAAGATAATTCAAGAGATATGAACACGAAACATTCAGCAAGGTCACTATTAGACAAAACTAAAACGTTCAAATTCATTTTTTCTATTATAATTTGGCATGATGTGTTAACAAAAATTAATATAGTAAGTAAAATGGTCCAGAATCCAAATACAACTTTAAAATGAATGCCACACAGAAATAAAAAATCTTATTATTTATTTCACTGAAAAAAGGTTAGACAAACATTTCGAGATTTTCATGAATGAGGCTGTAGCAGAAGCAGAAAAAAGTGATGTAGAGCAAACATTTCCATTATTAAGACAAAGAAAGACGAAGCTTCAATTTTCGTATGAAGGTACAGATGAAACAGTATTCGATCCAAAACAAAAATTTTAGATCAGTTTTTATTTTCAAATTTTGGACACAATTCAATCCCTACAAAGACGCTTTGGGGGAATAGATAAGTTACACGATTTATTTGGATTTTTGGGTAATTTTCAAAATCTAGATTCTGATGTGATTAAAAGATCATGTATGGATTTGGATTTAGCTTTACAAATTCAACATGCAGGAAACGTATGCAAAGATATTGATGGTCTTGATTTGCATAATGAAATTCTGTCATACAAAGTTCTTAACCCAATCACAGACTCTGGCAAAATTTCGGATTCGCCCATAGATATTTTAAATTATATAACAAAGAAAAATTTGCAATCCTTGTTTCCAAATCTATTTATAGCCTTGAGAATATTCCTGACCCTTCCAATTTCGGTGGCATCTGGCGAAAGGAGTTTTTCAAAGCTAAAGCTAATAAAAAATTATTTAAGAACGTCAATGTGCCAAAAAAGGCTATCAGATTTGGCAGTCATTTCAATTGAAAATAAAATTTGTGAAGCCATTGATCACAATGAAATAATTAATGAGCTTGCATCTGTGAAAGCACGACGTGTCATGTTGTAATTCCAATATTTGTTTTATTTTTCACTTGGTAAACAAAAGTTTTTTTGCATTGAGAGTATCTCCTTTCCGTTATTGTTTCATGTTATATTCCAGAATGCCTTATTAATTTGCGAATTGAGTGTTTTCTTTCTTACTGTTAACTTACATAATAATATTGTTTTAAAATGACCTTTTTCCTTCATTTAATTTTGAAAATAAAACCTTTTTTCAAACATGATTCGTTTTATTTTTCTTTTTACATTCATATCATATTTTCAATCATATCACAAGAACATGTTATGATATAGGTATCTTAAAAACATAATATGGGGGCGCACAAAAAATCCTGCACGCAGGCGCTCACTACCCTAGGAACGGGCCTGCCTCAACCTATTTCATTAAAGACTATAAAGCGTGAAGGCATGCCAAAAATAGAAACTTGAGAAAGATAATCAGCCGAAACCGCTGTAGTGATAAGAGGTTATAATAAATTTTGTGCAAGTTTTGAAAACAAAGTTTTCAGTGTTTTATTGTTACATAAGATGAATTTCCATCAAGTAACGGTCGAATCCATCAATTAATTACCAAAATCTTACTTAATAGCTTCAACATCTTTAGTGTCATGTGGTAGAAATGTGAGACACTGGAAAAAGTAATGCAAATATAGTACAGTTATTTTTAAAGAGAAAAATAACAAATTTTGGTACTAATGTATGATCAACAATAGCTAAAACTTTAAAGTACCTTAGTACTCAATTATGTAAAATAATAAAATGTAAAAAAATAGATGTTAATGAAAAAAAGAAAGGAGAAAAGGCGCACAAATGAATAAAAGATTAAAAACCAGTGAAAGTGATGAATATCTAATTATGTATTTTATCAAACTTTTAGTAAATATTTATGATACTGAATAGTTAAAAATTCTTACCAATTTAAACAAAAAAGTAGGAGTCGGCATTGTTGTTAGGTTTCTGTAGGACGTAATGGGTATTATTTACTTTTAAATGAACAATTAAAACCTTCTTTGGTTATCTATAGTCTATTGTTTGTTTTAATATTTAAACTGAATGATATATATAGTAATTAATCAAATAAAAAACAATATTTTTTAATTAATCTTTATATTATTAATTAGACTTTCAATGAAACAAAATTGTATTGAAAAATGGAAATAACCCAACACGAACAGAGATAAACTGTTTACTAAAGTTTTTCTATAAAGCAGCATCATTATCTTTTCTACCTATCACCATCTTTTTATATCATCACTTGACTATAGTTTATTTTTATGAACGAGAGAGTAATTAGCATAATTTTAACTGGTACCTCCGACCACTCCATGGGCGTGCTCAAGATTAATTGAAAAATTACTTTGAATAATTGTAAAAAATAAATAAATTATTTCAGTGTTATAAAGTGTTATGTGTATGTAAACAAAAGTGACCTCTTTTATCACACACTATATTAGAACTGACTGGCCTACATTAAAAAGGGTTTTAAAAAATTCACATTTTTTTTAATTTTTAAAAATTACAAAAGAGAAAAAGAGTTTTTAAAACCGTCTAAGGTATGTTAAATAGATGAATAAAAATATTAATATAAAACTTACAGCTACTTGTTACAAATCCAAATCAGATTCAGAAGATGAACTTTCAGAACCAAGATTTATAATAACTGGCTCGATCATTCTATCAGTAATATTGTCCAGCTTCCACATTTTTTCCTCTTCTTTAATAGTGTGATTTACTGCCTTTTCCCAGTTTTCAGGTTTTACATTATTTACGGCCTCCAAAAACAACTGTTTAACATCATGAATTTTAAAAGTGGTATTTTTTCTTGAAACTTCACTCTTTATCTGTGCCCATACCAGTTCAATCGGGTTTAATTCACAATGATATGGTGGGGATCTAAGTACTGTCATTCCACGATTTTTGGCAATTTCATCAATTTCGTATTTTTTAAATTTTTCTTTATGAAGGGCACACAACGAATAAAGTTCTTTTCTTATAGATCCGGGATGGTACGTAATATTTTTTGAACTCAGCCAATTCTGCAAGTCTTTTTTTAACCACTTGGTTGTGGGCAGTCCTTCTGTAAGTCTGGAGTGATAACTTGCATTATCCATTACTATTACACAGTTCTTAGGAAGAAGATCTATCATTTGTTCGAACCATTCTTGAAAGACATCAGCGTTCATGTCTTCATGGTAGTCACCGGTACGAGTTGATTCAAAAACTAATAAACCACCTTCAACAAAACCGTCTGAACTGCCAATGTGTACTATTATTAGCCTGCGTCCCTTTCCTGATGGTGGGTTTAAACCAGTAGATAAGTTATTTACAAAAGCGTGCCTTTGACTTGTAACAGTTTCATCCTGATAAAATTTATTTGGTGTATGACCCTCGTTGATCCATGTTTCATCAAGACAAAATATTTTTCTTTTTTGGTTTCTCATTTCCTTTAAGGTTCTTAGAAAATGTCCTCTCCATATGACAATATCGCTTTTTTCTAATAAAATAGACTTTCTGGGATTCTTTTTCCAGCGGAAGCATATTTCTTTTAAAAGTTTCCATAACGTACTTCGACTCATTTCTGGGTAATCCTTATCATCTCGAACTGAGAAAAGAACTTTATCCAATGTTGGAAATTCTTGTCTAAAGAAGAATTCATGCACTTTCCGTCGAAGTCCTTCTTTAAAATGATATTCTATTTGAAATTTTGGTTTCCCTGGAGCATTACGTGGCATTTGAAAACTACCACATTTCTCTTCTTTAATAACTCTGTAAATCGTAGATTTCCCAACACCAAGTGTACGGCTAACTAACTCAACGGTCTCATCAACACTTTCACATAAACGTTTGTCTGTAAATGATTTAAAACAATTAAGTATTAATGTTTTTTCATTAACTGTTAAAGGACCAATTGTTGGGCATTTACACGGCACTTCCAAATTTTCCATAACACTAGTATACACAATAAACTGCACCTTGCAACTGAAGTACCTACTTTTAGTGAACTGTTAAGAATTTTGAATACGCCACTTGGACCTTCCTACAAAATGAAAAAACCCACTATCACATTTTCTGTGGAATAAGTTTAGAAGGTAATTATCTAGTCAATTACTGTCGTAGATTCCTGGAATTAAAGAATTAAATGTTTGATTGTTGAAACCCTTACTTCGTGGAATGCACTCATTTCAGATAAAATAAAACGTTTTATTTTATCTAAAGAATTAAACTTGATTTTGCAAATAGGTAGGTACTTATTAAACTTTTATTGGTTATATATAACCAATAAAATAAACATCTTACATTTCTTGCAAATTCATTAGTACCTGTTAACCTCCATCACTCCGACACTGGCAACCTTATTTAGGGATTAGTAACCCTCACAACTATTGTATTCTATTCTGCTCCAACCTTTATACCTGGTGGTCATACTCAATTTAAAATTGTTTTCCTATATACTTCTGTAAACTTGTTGACAAATATCTGTTTTTCATTGAGTCACCCGTATCAACAGTTTAGGGATTTGCATACATAATTTATTGTTTTATTACTCTCTCATACATAAAAATACACTATAGATTATTATCATAATTAGACGGGAAATAGATTATGGCGATTTCTGGCGGGAAATAGCATAAACTATCTACAGAAAGGCGATTTCTGGCGGGAAATAGCATAAACTATATATTTAAAAATACCAAGTACCTTTCTTCTTATTCTGGATTTTGAATTTTGCATAACTAGACCAAGCGACTAATTTTCTGTATTAGTTTTGCATCAGTAGACCAAGCGCCTCTTGTGAGTATTTTAATGATTGTAAAACGAATATTTGGCAACACACATACATAAACGTTGTTGACAATAACTTGCTGAGGCGTTTAGCTTAAGAAGTAGTTTCAGTTATTGCATAAATTTTTCTATAAAATTAAAAGAGCTATAATTTGTTCAAATATTTCCGAAGTCCCAATCTAGCGTAAAAGAACAAAAACTAGTGTAGGATTCCATTCGTCATCAGATAAACTTATTACAAAAATTATTTCCGTTGCCAATATCTTCCATTTATTTACGAACCGAGATCCGAATTCCCGGCAACTGTGTTGTGGGTGAAAGTCACCCACGTCTTTCATTAGCGCTTGTTAAAATAGTGGCAACATGACCAGATTCATCTGGCGCCACGAGTACGTTCCCATAATATAACAGACCTTGTATTGCATCATAAATTTCAGTATATAAATAAGATTTGAATGAGTGGTGTCACGTTCTTTGGACTTGTGGGTGATTTTAACCCCACCACACAGTTGAAGTGCAGTATTATTCAGTTTTGGGGTAATTTTAATCCCACAACTTCGGTTAATTATTTACAGGTAAGTTCTTATACTAGTACAATTTATCTTTACTTTTTTAACAGCAGCATAATTTAATTGGTAGGAATATAGAAAATTGATTAGATATTCTTAATTTCAGACATAGAAGTATGTGCAGTTGGGAAAAGAACAAGAAGTTGTCTTGAAGCTTTGGCAAGATGAGTTCTTCTTCTTCTTCAGATGCAAATCCACTAATGGATGTTAGCGATCACATTTTCCATTATTTCTCTATTTCTTGCAATATGTATCAGAGATTGTATATCGT